CGCTGATGTGTTTCTTCTCCATCATGTATCCTCCTGACTGGTCATGGGAAAGGGATGTTGGCCTTGGCTAGAACACCTTCACCTAGGGAACAGCCATCGGTGGAGGAGTGAGGTGCCTGTGGCCAGTGATATTTGACTCCACATACTTGAACCCAGATTTCCTGGTTACTGACTCTGGGCTCTCAGGAAGAGAAGAGCTTTAGCTCTGCCCGGCCACTATGGGGAATGGGTGAGGTCCACTGTCTAGTCCCTCAAAGACCATGATCTCCTGCCTTGCTCCAAAAGACAGGCACCTCTGTTCCCAGCTCAGATTGAGCCCATGGGCTCTGACCCATTCTCCATGTCGTTCTAGGAGATACCCTCTTGGCCATCCGGGCCCCATCAGGCACCAGCCTGGAGGTGCCCATCCCAGAGGTGGGTGCTTAGCTCAGGCAGGCGGGGTCAGCTGAGGGCGGGTGCTGGCTGTGGAGACTGATAAGTCCCGGGTGGGGCAGGTAGGGGAGGCCTGGAGTTTGGGGTTATCTAGGAGGATGGGCATCCTGGGTGGGAGAGGACACTGGTCCTGACAGAGTCGGGCAGGAGCCAAGCCTGCTTCCAATTCTACCCATCTCCCATCCCTTACCACCCATCTCTAGGGTCTCAATGGGCAGAAGAAGTACCAAATTCACCTGAAGAGTGTGAGTGGTCCCATTGAGGTTCTGCTGGTGAACAAGGAGGCATGGAGCTCACCCCCTGTGGCTGTGCCTGTGCCACCACCTGAAGATCTGCTCCAGAACCCACCTGCTGTTTCCACGCCTCCACCTCTGCCGAAGCCTGCCCTAGCCCAGTCCCAATCCCAGGAAGCCTCACGTCCAAATAGTCCTCAGCTCACTCCCACTCCTGTCCCCGGCAGCGCGGAAGTCCAGGGAATGGCTGGCCCAGCAGCTGAGATCACAGGTGAGGCACCATGGGAGCTTGTGACAGAGGCCCAAGAGGCAGTATCTCTGTGTTGTGAAACACCACACTCAGAGTTGGAAGAGACCCTTCAAGATGGGGATTGTCTTTTTCCTGACCTCCACCTAGCCTTCCCTTGCTATGGTAATGAATGAGCCTTTTTTTTTTAAAATTGAGACGGTGTCTCACTGTGTCCCCCAGGCTGGAGTGTGCAGTGGTGCAATCTTGGCTCACTGCAGCGTCCGCCTCCCGAGCTCAAGAAATTTTCCTGTCTTAGCCTCCCGAGTAGCTGGGATTACAGGCACCCACCACCACACGCAGCTAGCTAATTCTTGTACTTTTAGTGGAGACGGGGTTTCACCATGTTGGCCAGGCTGGTTTCGAACTCCTGACCTCAAATGATCCGCCTGCCTCGGCCTCCCAAAGTGCTGGGATTACAGGCTTGAACCACCATGCTCGCCTGAATGGGCCCTTTTTAATAGGGAACCTCTGTGGGAAGAGACATTGCTGGTGGCAGTTTTCTCCCCCAGATCCACATCCACTGGTGTCTCAATTGCCCTGGTAGCCTGTCTTGAAGTACGGCCACTGCAGACATGTTGACCACGAGTCTCTTTCTGTAGGTCTTATGTTCCTGTCTGTCTCCTGTAGTGACAAATTTTAGGTTACTTCCTCGGGGGTGACTGGCAATGCCTAATTCTCCTTGGGTCTGGAAACCAGGCTTGGGTCCTGCTGGGTCTGGGTTCCAGCACAGCCAGGTTTAACAACCTCTTCTTGACCTTGTGTGACTGGGTTTGGGGGCTATCATTGCAGTGAGTGGCGGCCCTGGAACTGATAGCAAGGACAGTGGTGAGCTTAGTTCACTCCCACTGGGCCCAATAGCACTGGACACCCGGCCACTGCAGTCTTCTGCCCTGCTGGACAGCAGCAGCAGCAGCAGCAGCAGTAGCAGCAGCAGCAGCAGCAGCAGTAACAGCAGCAGTTTATCTGGACCCAACCCTTCTACCTCCTTTGAGCCCATCAAGGCAGACCCCACAGGTGGTGAGTACCTGCCCCCTAGGGGCAGAGAGAGAGAGTCTAGCCTCAGTCCAGTCCTAGGTCAGAAACAATGGGGATGGAACCCAGCTCTCCCGTCAACCCTGTCGGACACGAGAGCTCTCTGCCAGCACCTCTGGGTCAGTGCTGGAGCCCCCTCTAGTACCCCATCCTAGGCTAACACAGAACTCCCTGCCCTCTCTCAAGCCCTTTCCTGCCACCCATTGGAGCACCGCCTCACTAATTGACACTTCTCTGTATCACTCTTTCTCATCTTCTCTGTCTCCTTTCTGTCTGGACTCCTTGAAAAAGTAATCTCCACTCATTGGTCTCCTAGTCACCTTTCAGGTTGCAGCAGTCACTCCCCCAGCCCCAGTGTTACAGCAGTGTCACTCTTGAGAAGCTACCGAAGGCCTGCTGAGCCCAGCAGCCTCCAGACTGTTTTGCTGGTGCTCTCTTGGTCCGTGTCAATATTCTTTCCTCCTTTGGCATAATTATGCCAGCTCTTGGCTCTCTTGTCTCACTGGCTTCTTGAACTCTCCCTGGCGTGTCCTTAAACATTGCTGTTTTTGAGGGCTGTGTCCCATTCCACTCCTGGAGAGGGCTGTAGCTCTGGGTGAACGAATCCCCAGCCTCCGCCTGGCCTAGATCTTTTCCCGATATGCACTTTGGTGTCCACCTGCCGTCCTCTGTACATCCAATGGACACTTTATTCCTGCGTGTCCTCAACTGAACTTAGTTTCTCCCCGAAGCTTGCTTTCCATCTCTGCACACCCTACCTTGGCCCTATTTATCCAGGCCTGATCCTTGGCTCTCACTCTTGTTCCAGCTCCTTCTCCCTCCTCCTTCTGCTGCCCACTCCATGCCAGCTAAGCGAGGTCTGTCCCAGATGTCCCCTCCTATCCCCTGGTATCCTCAGCACTCAGGATGACCCCTGGCCACCTCTGTCCTGGATTCTTCAGCATCTTTCTCTTTACCCTGACTGACAGACTAATCTTTCTGAAATGCAGGCCTGACAGAAAAATGTGGCATTTCTCTGTTTGCAAAAGTACCTTTAATGACTCCCTGAGGGCCACCAGATAAGATCTGAACGCCTGAGCCTGGCATGTGAAATCCCTCATGGTCCTCTCTGGTTGCATTTTCTTCTGCTTCCCCTGTGTCCTCCTGGCCAGAGGTTTGTAGTGGAGTCATCACCCTGTAGCGCCACCACCTCTGCCTGGTGACCTGACCCAGGGTCTGGTCTCTGAGTCTTGCACAGAGCAGATGCTCAGCAAGGGTGGGACAGATGGGGTACCTTCCATCAGACGGGGTGCATGCTGAGCCCAGAAAGATGCTTCTGTGACCTTTCTGAGTTAGAAAAACTGTACCAATCACTTGCAGTGGGCCTTTGGTGCCCTGGGCTCAGCACTGAGGAATTCAGGTTTAGCAAGTGAGGCCAACAGACAGTGCCGGCTTGGCCTAGGCAGGGCCTACTACATCTCCTCAGCTGTGTGGAGCCTCAGGGTGGGTGGTATAGGATCCGAGGAAGCCACGGGGCCGTAGTGGTGCCAGGTTGGACCTCTTGTGTCCTGAGCATGGCTTTCTTGTTTTTCAGTTTTGGAACTCCCCAAAGAGCTGTCAGAAATCTTTGATCCCACACGAGGTAGGCTGCTGCATTCCTCCCTGGGGGTAGGGGTAAGGGACACAGCTCATTGGGTCCTATGGCTGTTTTCTTGCCCTTTTGAGGACCTTGTGGTGGCGCTTATGGTAACTGGGGCAAAGGGTGAAGTTCCTGATGGGCAGGTGGGGTTCCCTTTCCTGGGCTTTGGTAGATGGAGAGTTGGGAGCTGGAATGTTAGTAACTGAGCTCCCTCCATTCCCAGAGTGCATGAGCTCGGAGCTGCTGGAGGAGTTGATGTCCTCAGAAGGTGGGTGGCCCTGGAAGGTGGGAGTGGTTGTGGGCAGGGGTTGGGCTGCTGCTAGGGGAGCCCTGGCCCAGGGCCTGAGACTAGTGCTCTCTGCAGTGTTTGCCCCGCTGCTCCGTCTTTCTCCACCCCCCGGAGACCACGATTATATCTACAACCTGGACGAGAGTGAAGGTGTCTGTGACCTCTTTGATGTGCCTGTTCTCAACCTCTGACTGACAGGGACATGCCCTGTGTGGCTGGGACCCAGACTGTCTGACCTGGGGGTTGCCTGGGGACCTCCCCCATCCGACCCCTACACAGCTTGAGAGCCACAGACGCCTGGCTTCTCCAGCCTCCCCTCACCACACAGTTCTGGCCACAGCTCCGGCTCCTGTGCTGGCACTTCTGTGCTCGCAGAGCGGGGCAGCGGAATCAGCCCCCATCACCGTGGAGCCAAAGTGTTTGCTTCTCCCTTTCTGCGGCCTTCCCCAGCCGAGGCTCGGCTGCCACCCAGTGGCACAGAACTGAGGAGCTGCCATCGCCCCCCCATAGGGCAGCTTGTCCAGCCTCACTGTCTTGCTCCTGCCAGCTACTTCCCCTAGGAGTGAAGGGTGGCATGGAACTGGGCACGTGCCAGCACCACCCCTAGCTTCCTTCGCTGTCCCCCACCCCCTGACCCTCCAGCTCCTCCTGGCCCTCTCACGTGCCCCCTTCTACTGGGCCTTTAGCCCTAGAACCTGCAGGTGGTGGGGGTGGCTACCAAGAAGGAACAGAGGTCTCAGGAGGAGTCTGGGTGGTCCAGCCCTGAGGATTGACCCCACCTCCTGCTGCCCCATATCCTCTCTTCATTTCTGCTTATTCATTTACCCTCATTTAGAGCTATTTGCAGCGATTTAGAAAGATTTACAGTAACGAATGGATTCCTATATAAAGATTATTTTTATACTTTTTGCAGCAAAAGGAAATTGTAATATTTGTACAGTGTCCAAGTGAATAAAAACCGTGCCTAAGGCTAGCTCTGATGTGGTTCTTTCGGGACCCTCCTTGGGACTGTGCTGGATTGGCAGTGTGACTGGGTGGGTCACCTTGCTGGAACCGGGGTTGTGGGGCGGCCTCCGGCAGCCTGCCCTCCCCTCCCCCACCTGCTGCACGTAGGTGTGGGGCGGGGACACCTCGGCGGGGCGGGGCAGGCAAAGCCGTCCTACCTTCCTATCCCCGGACTCCAACCCGGAACTAACCTCGGCTCTCTTGGGAAGGCCGCATTGCATGGCCAGGAACGTCAGTCTGGGCCGCGAGTGCGGGACACCAAGGTCAGGTCTCGGAAAGAGGGAGGACCTCCTCGTCCCCAGGGGCCCCAGGCCAGGTGTGCCCTTGGCCGCAGGTGCACGGTCTCAGAAAAGTGCAGGTGCCCACGCCCCGGCTGGACCATGACGCCTCCGCGGAACGTAGTGAAGATTGCCATCCAGATGCGTGACGCCATCCCGCAGCTCATCCAGCTGGACCAGGTCACCTGGCTGGTCCCGCCTCCATCTGCCCCGCGGCCCCACCTCCCAGTAGCCCCCTGGCCCTCGGGGCAGCCCGCCCCACCCCTCCCCCCAGGCTCCTCCCCATCCCTCCCTGCCCCAGCCGCGAGAATGACCGCTCCACTTGCAGGCGAAGCCCCTGGCCGCTGTGCTGAAGGAGGTGTGCGACGCGTGAGTGCTGCCGGGCCAGGGCCTCTGGAGGGTGGGAGGGCGGGTGGGCAGGAGGGGCGGCTCCCCCTGCCAGCCTCGCTGAGCCTCGTGCCCCGCAGGTGGAGCCTGACGCACTCTGAGCGCTACGCCCTGCAGTTTGCGGATGGGCACAGGAGATACATCACTGAGAATGTGAGTACCCTCTCCCCAGCCCCACCCTCCGCCTTCCGACCCCGCTAACCCACCTGGCCCCGATATCTCTGGCTCTTCATCCCACTACCGGAGAGCGATATTTTACTGACCCCCAGCTGCCCTCACCGACACCCCAGCTGATCAGTCCTCGGTGCCCTCCCTGACCTCGCTGCCCTTTCTGCTGTCTTCTCCAGAACCGCGCGGAGATCAAGAATGGCAGCATCCTATGCCTCAGCACGGCCCCAGTAATGCCCCTCGCGGCCTGCCTACCCCATCCCTGCCCCTTTGCCCCAGGTCCAGAGGCCCCTACCCCGGAGGCCGCAGCCCCAGACCTGCCTTGAGCCACCTAGTTGACACCCGGGGCCGCACACTTCCAGGTCCCACCCTTACTGTGCCCAACCTCTTCACCTCTGTTCCTGCTTCGTTCCTGCCAGGACCTTGAGGCTGAGCAGCTCTTGGGTGGGCTGCAGAGTGACAGTCGTGAAGGGCGCCGGGAAGCCCTGAGACACCTCGTCCCTCTGGCCTCGGACATGACCTTTGCCAGGGAGGTCATCAGCCGTAATGGGCTCCAGAGACTAGGCACCATCATTGAGGATGGGGACGAGTGAGCACAGGGATGTGTGGGCTGGGGGAGATGGTGGGGCTTTCTGGTCCTGATCTGGTCCTGCTCAGCCCCAGATGTGCCCCCTCCAGCCTAGGAGAGGTGCTGGCCCTCAGCCTGAGGGCCTTCTTGGAGCTCATGGAGCACGGCGTGGTGTCCTGGGAGACACTGAGCATCCCCTTTGTGAGGAAGGTGGGTGGGCTTTCCTAGGGCAGCGGGTGGGGGCAGTGGAGCAGTGGGGCAGTGGTAGACCCGGGTTCCATGGGGGTGAGGTGGTGACACCCCCACCCCTTACAGGTGGTGTGCTACGTGAACATGAACCTCATGGACGCCTCCGTGCCACCCCTGGCCCTTGGGCTGCTGGAGAGTGTGACCTTGAGCAGCCCAGCCCTGGGCCAGCTGGTCAAGAGTGAGGTGCCCTTGGATAGGCTGCTGGTGCACCTACAGGTGTAAGCCTCTGGGGCTGGGGTCCAGATGTGGGGAGCAGGGCTGGAGCCTGAATGTTCCACTGAGCCCTCTTCTTGCCATAGGATGAACCAGCAACTGCAAACCAAGGCCATGGCCCTGCTGACAGCCTTGCTGCAGGGGGCCAGCCCTGTAGAACGCAAGGTTAGTGTCGATCAGTGGCTGGATGTGGATAGCACCCGGTGGGCACCGCCCCCCCCAGAGCGAAATAATCTAAGCCCCCTTTCTTTCTACCCCCTCAGCACATGCTTGATTATCTCTGGCAGAGGAACCTTCGCCAGTTCATCTATAAGGTAGGAGGTGGTGGGCCAGGGGCACCTCTGTGCCCCTCCCTCCCAGTGAGCCCTTGCTCAAACCTGGGTCTGGCTGTCCTGCAGAACATCATCCACAGTGCAGCACCAATGGGCGACGAGATGGCTCATCACCTGTATGTACTGCAGGCCCTCACGCTGGGGCTGCTGGAGCCGCGTATGCGAACGCCCCTGGACCCCTATAGCCAGGTGTGTGTCTTTAGTGGGGACAAGGCGGGGGTGGCTTGGAGTTTGGCCTTGAATCTATAATATTGATCCCCTCCCCTGCCACCTGACACTGACCCCAGGAGCAGCGGGAGCAGCTGCAGGTCCTACGCCAGGCTGCCTTCGAGGTGGAGGGGGAGTCCTCAGGTACCGGGCTGAGTGCTGACCGTCGCCGTTCCCTCTGTGCCCAAGAGTTCCGCAAACTGGGCTTCTCTGTGAGTATCCCCCCTACCCAACTCCTCAACCCTGCCTCAGCCCAGGGCTGTTGTTCCAGGGGGCCATGACCCTTCTTGAACTGTCTGTGCCCACTTCCCCCAGAACAGCAACCCAGCGCAGGACCTGGAGCGCGTGCCCCCCGGTCTACTGGCCCTGGACAACATGTTGTACTTCTCCAGAAATGCACCCAGCGCGTACAGCCGGGTTGGTGACAGGGTAGGGTGGGGGGTGGCAGCATCCCCCAGGCAGGGTCCCCATGGGCTTAGCCGTGACACCTTGCCCCATTCTCTGCCCCTTCCAGTTTGTGTTAGAGAACAGCAGCCGCGAGGACAAGCACGAGTGCCCCTTTGCCCGGGGCAGTATCCAGCTGACGGTGCTGCTGTGTGAGCTGCTCCACGTTGGGGAGCCCTGTGAGTGGCCGGGACTGGGCACAGCATGGCTAAGAGCAGGGGACGGAAGGGCAGAGAGGGCCAGGGGCTGCATGCACTTTCTCCCTGAGCCCCTCCTGCCCCCCCACTCCAGGCTCTGAGACAGCCCAGGACTTCTCGCCCATGTTCTTCGGCCAAGACCAGAGCTTCCACGAGCTCTTCTGTGTGGGTATCCAGCTGTTGAATAAGACCTGGAAGGAGATGCGGGCCACACAGGAGGACTTCGACAAGGTGGGTGGGGTGGGAGCTGGGAGGCCTGGGCCAGGGCAGGGGGCTGATCTGGGTACAGAGCTCAGGTGCTGAACTGAGCTTGGGCGGCCCCAGGTCATGCAGGTGGTGCGGGAGCAGCTGGCCCGCACTCTGGCCCTGAAGCCCACCTCCCTGGAGCTCTTCCGAACCAAGGTGAATGCACTCACTTACGGGGAGGTGCTGCGGCTGCGGCAGACCGAACGGCTGCACCAGGAGGGCACACTGGCTCCCCCTATACTGTGAGTTTGCGGGGATGGATCTTCAGTCCTAGCCCCACCTTCCCTGGTGCCCCCTGGGCTACTCCCCAAGTCAGATGTGCTCAGTGACACCCCTCTATCAGGGAGCTGCGGGAGAAGCTGAAGCCAGAGCTCATGGTCCTGATCCGCCAGCAGCGCTTGCTCCGCCTCTGTGAGGGGACGCTCTTCCGCAAGATCAGCAGCCGGCGGCGCCAGGGTCTCTGAGTGGGCATGGGTGGGGGGCAGAGGGCAGGCAGAGGGCGGCTGGCTTAGTGCCAGGACCTTTCAGTACTCTGGCCCTCTTCCTTTTCTCCACACAGACAAGCTGTGGTTCTGCTGCCTGTCCCCCAACCACAAGCTGCTGCAGTACGGAGACATGGAGGAGGGCGCCAGCCCGCCTACCCTGGAGAGTCTACCTGAGCAACGTAAGGCGGGCAGGGGCGGGGGCCAGACACCTGCTCTCCCCAGACCGCCTTGGGCCCCGGGGCTGCTGGGGCCACAGTGCTCAGCCCAGCCTTCTTCCTGCAGTCCCTGTGGCCGACATGAAGGCACTCCTGACAGGCAAGGACTGCCCCCATGTCCGGGAGAAGGGCTCTGGGAAGCAGAACAAGGTGGGTACAGCAGGCCGGGGGCTCCTTCCCACCCGCCTCTGCCTGCCCTGTCCCCTGCTCAGTGTCCCCGCTCCCTTGCTTCCCCAGGACCTCTATGAGTTGGCCTTCTCGATCAGCTATGACTGCGGGGAGGAGGAGGCGTACCTCAACTTCATTGCCCCCTCCAAGCGGGAGGTGAGTGTCCGCCAGGCTGAGGTCAGCAGGTGGGCAGGGGAGGCAGATGGGCAGACCCTCATGGCTCTGTGCCACCCCCAGTTCTACCTGTGGACAGACGGGCTCAGTGCCTTGCTGGGCAGTCCCATGGGCAGTGAGCAGACACGGCTGGACCTGGAGCAGCTGCTGACCATGGAGACCAAGCTGCGTCTGCTGGAGCTGGAGAACGTGCCCATCCCTGAGCAGCCACCCCCTGTGCCCCCACCCCCCACCAACTTCAACTTCTGCTATGACTGCAGCATCGCTGAATCTTGACAATGTGGCTGGTCACGGGCCACAGCTGCGGCCACTGCAGCAGCCATGAAGGGTGGAGGGTAGAGGAGTGCAGGCACCCTGGCCAGCAGAGATTGCTGCAGAAATAAAGTCTGCTTGGCTTTTGGGATATGTTGAGCCAGCTCTGAACCTTGTGGGCTGAGCCTGTGACAGTGACAGTCTTCCCCTTCTGCCTTCAAACTTAGCTGGTGGATAAGATGGGGCATCAGGCCAGGCCACAAACTTTGACAGCTGCGGTTGAGGGGCTGGTGTTTTGAAGTGGGTGGGGAGAGGATGGGACTGCTGCCCTTCTCCAAGATGAGTCCTCAGCCTCCCTCCATGCTGGGCCTGCGGGGAGGGCTGGCCTGTGGTCTGGGGGTACCTGCCAAGGGAGAGGCTGGGCTGCCAGCCTGCTGCAGGAGAAGTGGCAGGGCAGGAGGCACGGCTCCAAATGGATGCCTTCCTGGACAGCATTAACAGGGGCATAGTCTGGGAGCCATCTCCAGAAGGCTCCTGACAGTCTGACCTCAGTCCTCAGGCTTGCATGGCCCTGTCTGGTGTCCTTTGTAGGACTTGGAGGTCTCTGGTGAGAGGCCTGAAGGGAGAGAGGCAGAAGGGCAGGCTCAAGATCCCCAGGCCAGTGGGAGGATGTGGGCTGATTCTGACAAGAGCCACTTCTGTGCAGGAAGCCCCGGATTCTGATTAAAACCTAACTTAGGGCTGGGCTTGGCTCACGCCTATAATGCCAGCACTGTGGGATGCTGGGGCAGGCCAATAACCTGAGGTTAGGAGTTCAAGACCAGCCTGGGCAATATGGTGAAACCCTGTCTCTACTAAAAATATAAAAATTAACTGGGCATGGTGACACACACCTGTAATCCCAGCTACTCAGGAGGCTGAGGCAGGAGAATCGCTTGAACCCAGGAGGTGGAGGTTGCACTGAGCTGAGATTGCACCACTGCACTCCAGCCTGGGCGAAAGAACAAGACTCCATCTCAAAAAAGAAATTAAAAACCTAACTCAGAACCATGGGTAGGGTGGGGGCCAGAGACAGGCCAGAGCCCCTGGGGGCAGAAGCAGCGAGAAGTATTGGGTCCAGCTGGAGGTTTGGTCACGGGGCAGAGGCTGTGGTCACAGACCCCAAGCCCTTGAGGAAAGAAGAGCCCATCAGTCTGTGGAGCTCACAGGATAGGTTGAAGCCACTGCCCCTCAGACTTCTCCCTGCCATTCACCTCTTCTCTCCCCAGTGCCACCTCCAATTTCTTTTCTTTCTTTTTTTTTTTGAGATAGAGTTTCGCTCTTATTGCCCAGGTTGGAGTGCTGTGGCGTGATCTCGGCTCACTGCAACTTCCACCTCCCAGGTTTAAGTGATTCTCCTGCCTCATCCTCCCAAGTAGCTGGGATTACAGGCATGCACCACCACACCCGGCTAAATTTTTTGTATTTAGTAGAGACAGGGTTTCACCATGTTAGTCAGGCTGGTCTCTAACTCCGGACCTCAAGTGATCCACCTGCCTCAGCCTCCCAAAGTGCTGGGATTACAGGCATGAGCCACAGCACCTGGCTCCAATACTGTTTGTTTGTTTTTTGTTTTTGTTTTTTTTTTTAGATGAAGTTTTGCTCTTGTTGCCCAGGCTGGAGTGCAATGGCACCATCTCAGCTCACCGCACCCTCCGCCTCCCGGGTTCAAGCGATTCTCCTGCCTCAGCCTCCTGAGTAGCTGGGATTATAGGCAAGCGCCACCATGCCTGGCTAATTTTATATTTTTATTAGAGAAGGGGTTTCTCCATGTTGGTCAGGCTGGTCTCGAACTCCCAACCTCAGGTGATATGCCTGCTTCGGCCTCCCAAAATGCTGAGATTACAGGCATGAGCCATCGCACCTGACCCCAATAACGTTTTTAACTGTTAACCGTCAACCTGGCTGACCTTGAGAACTGATGAAATGGCACTTCCTTTGGAGAGTGTGCTGGAGGGCACTTGCTCCCCCTCCCCCAGCTAAGCTTCAGATCCTTGGGCATCCAGGGCCTACCATGCCCATGCCTAAGGACTTCCCACCACAGTTGGAGCAGTCGGCCACGGAGTTCTAGGTGGAAATGGGGGCAGGGATCCCTGATGCTGTCGGCCTCCCTTCCCAACACTGTGGGCCAGGCCTGAGGAAGGAGTGTGTCTCGGGATTTTCTCCGCCTGCCCCAGGGCCACTTCAGCTGAAGTTGGGAGGGGAGGGGCCCTTTAGGGGCCTCCCTGTAACCGTCAATTATTCCTGCTTAATGTTTCCAGTCCCTTGTGCGTGCCACCATCATAGCAACAGCCTCCCGACTTCCGGCCTCCTGTCTTGCACCTCTAATCCTCTCAATACCAGCTACCCCAACTGCTTTCACTGATATAAATCTTATCATACACACACACAAACATCCCATATATTTGATGTCGCCCTATTCATGTCCATGGGTTAATGGCCATAGTTTCCATGACTGAACCTGAGTTGAGCCAGGTGAGTCGCAGACATACCATGGTTTAGCCCTTTCACCTGAGCACCTGTGGCTTGCAGTGTTCTTGATGCTTGGTCTGAGCTGGCATCCTCCCTGCCTAGACTACCCCCTCAGTGACAGCTGTGGCCTGCCTGTGTGCACCCCCACAGTGCCTTCTACCTGGATCACCCCCTTCCTTTCTTCTGGCCATTTTCACTGCCCTGATTCCTTCCTGGACCCTCCAAGCCCAATTTGTTGCTCCCTGGGCTCTGGTCCCAGGTGCTTGTCTCTCTCTTCACCCGCACCCTGCACACTGGACTGTCCCTGCTAGCTGGCTTCTCTGCCTCCCCAGCTGGCCCTGGGGCTGGGAGAGCTTTGACCCCTCTGACTCCCCACATAAAGCACAGTCCCTGCAGGCACTGAGGGAGCCCTGGCTCGCTGCTACAACCAGTGAACACGAATACGGAGGAGGTGCGGGGACACGCCAAGGGCCAGAGCTGCCATGGAGAAGTCACCAGCACCATTGAAGGGGCTGGACTAGGTGACCTGTAGTGACCCTCTCACCCAGAGATACTGGCCTCTTTCATTCTTTTCCTCTTATTTCCCCTCAGGACAGCCTCATTGACTCAGGCATCATTCATGGTAGTTCCTGGAATCTGGCTGAGACAAGCACACAGCTTGTGCCTTTGCCTCAGGACACACCCAAGCCTGCGGGATCTCCTACTGTGTGGGGAAGATGCTAGGAGTGTCAGGCCAGGGCGGGAGCCCCCGTGGGGCTGTGGGCCAGGCCTGAGGAAGGAACGTGTCTCCTGTCTTGGGGTTTTCTCTGCCTGCCCCAGGGCCACTTCAGCTGAAGTTGGGAGGGGAGGGGCCCTTTAGTCTGGGAATTTAAGACAAGGAGGTACTATCTGGAATATTTAATCTTAGGGTTTACAACATAGACCTGGGCTCAGCTGCTGAAGCTCAGTGCACACAGGGTGCTGGGAGAGTCCCACAGGAGTAGGTGGAGCCGGGCCTTAGGTCTGAGAAGAGGGCAGGCAAGAGGCAGGGGCTCTGCTCCTCTCAGCACCAGACCCCGCCTGCTGGGGGCCTGGCCTCCCGCCCAGGGCTTGGCCAGAGAGCAGGAGCCTGTGACGGCAAACAAGTAGCTAGCATTTCCAGGGGCCTGTGGCAGCCATGTGTAGCTAGAAAGAGGCTACTGTCAGGCGGTGTGGCGGGAAGTTCCCTCTGGGCTGCCCTGGATTGGCCCCACCCCCAGTCCTAGAGGGTCTGCAGTAGAGGGAGGCAAGAGGCAAGCCAGGTCAAGGCCAGGGTTGGGGACTGGGGGAGTCAAGAAGGCTGTGCTGCAGGGCTGGTTACTGACCCGGCCTCAGAGTGTTAGGGTCAGGTCAGCCCCTCCCACGAAGCGGGACTGGACGCAGGACACCTGGGGCAGCTGGGCTTGGAAGCGTCTGATGGCGGCCATGTTGATGCCAGGGCACATGGCCACATCCAACACCCGGAGCTGCCTGCACGCCTGCCCAATGGCATCCAGTGTCCTGTGGGGAGGCCACTGGATGAGTGTCTGGCCCGGCGTGGGACCCAGCCCAGCCCCTGCACTGTGGCTCCATCTGCCCAGTGTCATCAGACACACTCACTGCTCTGTGAGCTGACTGCAGCTGGACAGGTTGAGGTGCTGCAGCCTCCGCCAGGAGCTGGCTGCCTGGGCCCAGCCCTTGTCACTGACGCGGCTGCAGTGACTCAGCGCCAAGTGCTCCAGGCTAGGACAGCCCCCGGCCACAGCCACCAAGCCCTTGTCTGTAAGTTCTGGCAACAGGCTCAGGGACAGCTGCCTCAGCTGGGGGAACTGGAGCACCTACAAGGATGGGGAGGGTCGGGGAGAAGTAAATGCCACTGGAGCCCACAGCCTTGGCCTTTCCAGATCCTCCCACCCCAGCCAGGGCATAACTAGAGGCAGCAGAAGCCAATGAAAAAGGAACTCCAAGGTCAACTTTTTTCCAAGCAAAAAGTGGGTTGGCCTAGACCCCTGACTTCAGCCCCAAGATCCTCAGCCTACCCGCACCCGCAGCCCCACACCTTGGCTAAACTGGCATCAGTCAGCTTGCTGCAGGCTGTGAGGTCCAACTCCTGCAGGGCCCGAAGCATGAGCAGGGAGGGGCCCTGTGGCTCGGGACAGGGGTCCTTGGTGCCTGAGGCCTGATGCTCCAGCTCTGGGCGTGGCTGTAGGAAGAAGCCCTTGCTTCTCAGGTTCCTCCTGAGTTTGCCCTTAAATGTTCCTACAGAGAGACTTGGAAGGGACAGGAGGGCAGCTGAGCCCAGGGGCCACCCCATCCTCCCAAGATTTCGAGGGTCCCGCACCTGGGTCCCCTGCACAGGCTCCTCCAGCCCCAGAAGCCCCCAGTCACACAGCTCCCTGCACCAAGCCAGGCGTAGGACTGAGAGGTGGGTGAGGTAGGTGCAGATGGCCTGCAGGGTCCGGTTGGTGAGGGCCACACAGGAGGACAGGTCTAGCACCCTGAGGCTCAGGCCCAGCGCTGGAATCATGGAGAGCACTGAGGCGTCCTAGGAGGGAGGAAGGGAGGAGATAGGATGGAGCAGCAGCTGGTTGCCTATGCCACCTGGCCTGGCAGGGGTAGCTAAGAAGGGTCTGTTCAAGGTTCTCACCCCACAGGCAGGAGGGAGGGAGGGGAGCTACCAGAGGGTCCAAGGAAGGAAGCAACATGGTCCCTGTGCTGGTAGTGAAAGGTGGGGGTGGGCAGGGTGGGCCATGGGGGTTGCTGCAGGAAAAAGGCCTGGACTGTGGCTGGGGCAGGAAGGATGCAAGTGGCAGGGCCTAGGGTGGCCACCCTGCCTATGCTCCCAGCCCTTGCCAAAAGAGTGAATGAGGCCACCTCAGACCACAGCTCACTGGACCAGCCAGTTGACTCTGCTAAGCCAATCGGAGTCGCTCCCTCTAGAATTGGAACCAGAAGTATGAGATGGAGGTAGAGCTGCCAGCTGACAGGGCAGTTAGGGATGGGGAGCAGGAGCTAAGGGCAGAGTAGAGGAGGCTGGTTTGTAGAGAGATGCACAGAGGGGAACTTCGTACCAGGCTTCGTACCAGGTGCTACAATCTGTTGCTTACCACCTGGGCCCACACCTACAGAGCTTGTCCCTGGGTGGAGGCAGCCCCACAGAGGCCTCCTTTGTGGCCCTGATCCTGGGATGCCCAGCCTTGTGTGTCCTTGATCTCAGTGGCTGCAACAGCCTCTTCACCTCTGGCACACTGCTGGCTCAGCCCGAGATGGCATAGAGGGACAAAAGAACGTGAGGCGTGGAGGCAGCAGCTGAGAGGACACGGGGATGTTGTACCACATATCTGACATGCTTGGTGCCAAAGAGAAGGAGGAGTAAGGCCAGGAAGAGAGACACTTGGAGGGTAACAAGGTGGAGAGATGGTTTTTAGGTTGGGAATGCCCTGGTCAAATGGACAGGCTGAAGAAATAATCCACTAAAGAGGGACAGACTGACACTGCCAAGACAGGGGCGCCACCCAGAGAGACAGCGCTGAGCCCCGCTAAAGGGCCTGGCCTTGGCTACGAAATGACCCTGCTGCTCCTGTCACATCACCCTCACAGGCCCTGCCCCAACACCTTCCTCAGTGCTCCTTCCCTGCCTTCCTTGCCCATCACCCCCTTTCTTCAGCCCTCCCAGCTTCGGAACACTCGTCCTTAGCGCCCCTCCCCAGACCACATGCACTTGGCATGTGAGCTGTTGGCCGCCTCGTGGGCTGGGTCACCTTGGCCACTTGGACCTCCTAGGCCCACAATGGGGGCTTTGGGGAGATGTGCTGGCAGCAGCAGCAGCTGTCTAGGCTCTTGTCCTCCTCCAGATTGGGTCCCAAGTTCATTTCTAACTGCCAATCATAGGCATGAACACTGGGGAGTCCCTTCCTGGTGCCACAGGCCCACCACCACCCCGGTTCCCCCTCCCGCTGTCCTCAGCCCTGGAGAAGAAGGGAGGGGATGATGGTGAGCTCACCTTCAACGAAGAGCAGTGGGCCAGGCTGAGGGAGGCCAGCTGGGATGGAGCCCTGTGCACAGAGCCCAGGGCCTGGGCCAGTTCCTGCCCTCTCACCAGGCAGCACTCGGCCATGTTGAGGCTCTGCAGCTCCCGCAGGCCACCCAGAGCTGTACATCCTGCGTCTGTCAGCCGCTGCAGCTTCCCCAGGCTCAGGCGCCGCAGGTGCCGCAGGCCCCGGCTCACGGCCAAGAGCGCCCCATCAGTCAGTTCTGAGCAGCCGCTGAGGTCCAGGGAGGTAAGGCCTGGTTGCTGGAAGCACAGGGTAGCCACAGCCTCTGTGGAGAGGTCCCGGCAGCTGTGCACGCTCAGCTCCTGCAGTTGCAGCCCAGCTACCTGGCCCAGGGCCTGCAGGGCCTCGGGTGGTAAGCCAGTGCCACTCAGGTCCAGGGCACGCAGCCTGCCAGCCCGCTCTTGCACAAATCACAGCAGGTTGCGGAAGGAGAACTGGGAGGGAGAGGAGTCTTGGGGGCTGATGGAGCCTCGGGCTGGGCCTAGCTCGAAGGTGAAGTGGCAGTATGCCAAGGAGAGGCGCTCCAGGCTGGGGGCACAGCTGCTGAGCTGGTTGAAGCTGAGGTCAGCCAGGTCTCGCAGGCCAGCCAGGTTGAGCTCACGGAGGCCGCTCAAGGCCTGCCGGACGCTCTGTGCCATCTCGGGCTGAGCCAGCAGTGTGCCAGAGGTGAAGAGGCTGTTGCAGCCACTGAGATCAAGGACACACAGGGCTGGGCATCCCAGTATCAGGGCCACAAAGGAGGCCTCTGTAGGGCTGCCTCCACCCAGGGACAAGCTCTGCAGGTGTGGGCCCAGGTGGTAAGCAACAGACTGTAGCACCTGGTACAAAGTCGGAGAGCCATCCACGTTGGCCAGGCTGATGCAGCAGATGCCCCTGAGTCCCAGGCTCTTGATGGCCGAGAGGGAAGCAGAGGACACTGGGATGTTGTATCGCACATCTGTCTATGGAGCAGCAGCAGGCCTGGGGGTAGCCCTCTGGCTTCAGAGGGTGCTGGGCATTGGGTTTGGTGACAAGTCACTGGCCAGAGGTTGAGGGCAGGTCAAGGAAGGGCCCTTCCACAACGGGGACCCATCGTGGTGTGTGGTATCATGTGTGGTCAAGTTGGGCATGGGTAGGAAGTGGGAGCTGAGGTTCAAATGAGATGACCATCAGAGGAAGGCGGGAAGGTTAGTGATGGATAGGATGGGATGCTGAGGGAGGGGCGGGGACAGAGTGGGGAGTTGGCATGCTGAGCACAGGAGGGCGAGATGGGACCTGGAGGAAACCCAGTGAAGTCCCCAGGGCGTGGGAGGGCAAAGTATGCCAGACCCCAACCTTTGGGACTTTCAGAAGGAGGCCCTGAGATCCATGGACTCAGCCTCCTACTCCAGGGACTTGACATGAGCTAAGCAGCCAGCTTCCCCAACTTTCTAGAGAGCATACCCCTCTGAAGAGTGGAAGGCGAGAGAAGTGAGGTAGGTGTCACTCACCACAACCCTCTATGGCCCAGGTGACAGAGGTCTGGGGCAGGCAGTGAGGCCTAAGTCCCCTGGTGGCCTGAGAGAGTCTGTCACATGAATGTTTGCAAAAATGTATTCTCTGTTTAAGCAAAAATGTGAAAAATGTATTCTGTGTTTAAGCAAAAATGTGTGCATGTGCATATATGTGTATGTGTATGTGTATGTATGTGCATGTGCATGTGTGTGCATGAACACATGGAGCTGCCTGGTATTGGGCCCTGGATGCTCCAGCGTTCAAGATGTGCTTGTGATCCCTGCAGCATATCTCCGGAGAGGACATCTATCTGTCAAGGTAAGGACACTGAAGCCTCCCATTTCCGTGGATGGGAGCTAACAGAACACACCTCACCCGTGCCAAGGAAGTTGAGCTGGCTGTGCACAGAGAAACAGGGGAGTGAGAATGGGGAGTGCAGAGTTGGAGCCGGGTGGGACCCAAGAGACAAGCTCAGGGCTACATGGTGGGAATAAGTTGGCTTGTGCAGGCATTTAGGAGCTCCTAGCTAAGGAGATATCTTCAAATAACTTTTCCTGATATTGCACTGGAGTAAGCCAAAAGGAAATTGGTAAAATTTGTGTGGAACAGATCTTTGGGGAGAGGGAGAGGAGGGCTTGGATTCTAAAATCCTTGCCCCATCTCCCTACCTCTTGCCCATGTTACAGGCAAGTGGTACTCAAAGAGGGCTCTTGTATGAATCAACATGGTCCTGATGCAGAAAAGAAAGCTCCCCTAAATCTGTCTTGTCAGTAACTGCAAAAACAACCTGCTGTTCCCTGCTGGTACCCCACAGACCATCATCAAAAGGGAATCCAAGCCAGGCATGGTGGCTCACACCTGTAATCCCAGCACTTTGGGAGGCTGAGGCGGGTGGATCAGTTTAGGTCAGGAGTTTGAGACCAGCCTGGCCAACATGGTGAAACCCCATCTCTACTAAAAATACAGAAATTAGACTGGGCGCGGTGGCTCACGCCTGTAATCCCATTACTCTGGGAGGCCAAAGCAGGCAGATCACGAGGTCAGGAGATCGAGACCATCCTGGCTAACATAGTGAAACCCCATCTCTACTAAAAATAAAAAAAAAAATAGCCGGACATGGTGGCAGGCACCTGTAGTCCCAGCTACTTGGGAGGCTGAGGCAGGAGAATGGCATGAACCCGGGAGGCGGAGCTTGCAGTGAGCCGAGATTGCACCACTGCACTCCAGCCTGGGCAACAGAGCAAGACTCCATCTCAAAAAAAAAAAAAAAAAAAAAAAAAAAAAAAAAAAAAAAACCAGGAATGCAAAAAGTAGAAGTGACTCACAGGATGTGCTCCTGCAAGATGCTTATCAACAGGATTCTCTTAAGAAACACAGGACTCATTCCCAGGTGTGGAGAGACCAGCCTGGCTTCTGCCAGAGAGAAGTGGCACCCATGGCTGTAATGACAGGAAGGAGCAGTGTAAGAGACAGGAACCAGCTCCTGGCCTCTTTCACAGGAACCAGGGGTCAGCCAGGTTCCCCTTCCAGCCCCTACTTCTGGAACATGGTCATTCCAGATGAGAGGGGCACTCACCACAGGTCTCCTCGTGGGCAGTGGATCAGGGATCTCAGGTGAAAGGGAGGCTGGGAAGATCCCACTGTGTGAGGGTGGAGAGGGCAATAAAACATCAGAGAGGAATGGAGGGCATACCTCCAGCCATTCCCGAGCCCTGCAAGCTAGACAACTCCATCGGATGCAGATGAGAGGAAACTAGTTGGGGCAGCTGGGGCAGAGCTGGCTGTGAGGCAGCACCTCCTTCCCCAACTCACACATCACTGAGGAACCCCTGAAAGTCCTGCAGGCCCCAGCTCCGGCAGCACAGCACCTTCAGGGGCTCAGCCTGGCTTCTTCCCTTCCCTTCATTCTGGAGCCTGGCTGGCCAGGAAGGGTCTCTTCTCTCCCACTGCCTCCCTATGAACCAGGTGGACAAAAGACCTTGGAAGGCTCTGGCAGTGCCCCCAGGGCCCAAGTCCAGGGCTGGCTCCTGGCAGCAAGGCCACCTGATAAAGAAGCAAGGCTTGGTTTAAAGGACTTCTAGCTCTGGGGGTACAGAAGAGGCTTGAGACCATTTCCGGGCCCCACCATTTTTGCTGGTGGGATGGGAGCAGCCTCTAAGCCACCTCACAGGTGCCTCCTGAGGTCTGCTCCTGAGGTCACCTGCTCCTGAGGTCACGTGGATTTAAAACTGCAGGAGTTGGCCGGGTGTGGTGGCTCACTCCTATAATCCCAGCACTTTGGGAGGCCAAGGCAGGTGGATCACAAGGTCAGGAGTTCGAGACCAGCCTGGCCAACATGGCGAAACCCTATCTCTACTAAAAATACAAAAATTAGCTGGGCGTGGTGGCAGGAGCTTGTAATCCCAGCTACTCGGGAGGCTGAGGCAGAAGAATTGCTTGAACCCAGGAGGCGGAGGTTGCAGTGAGCTGAGATCGTGCCACTGCACTCCAGCCTGGGCAACAGAGCAAGACTCCAGCTTAAATAAATAAATAAATAACCTGCAGGAGCCCAGGAACATCCTTTCAGGGATATTTCTCTGTGTGAGGGCACAGCAGCAGGCTGAAGCAGGCCTTCTGGGTTCTGGACTTTGGCCCTGGTATAGGACACCCCCTTCCTGGGCCCTGGGAAGATGCTTCTAGACCCACTCAAAGAGGACTGCATGGCCACATGCTCTAGCTCTAGCTGCCCCATCTACAGATGGAGCACCTTGCCCCCTGGTGTCCTCCCTTCCTGATGCTGGCCTCTTAAGAGTAATCGCTGGCTGGGCATGGTGGCTCAAGCCTGTAATCCCTGGACTTTGCCCCAAGGCAGGCAGATCACTTGAGGTCAGGAGTTCAAGACCACCCTGGCCAGCATGGTGAAACCCCATCTCTACTAAAAATACAAAAAAGCCGGGCATGGTGGCAGATACCTGTAATCCCAGCTACTCTGGGGGCTGAGGCAGGAGAATCTCTTGAACCTAAGAGGCGGAGGTTGCACTGAGCCGAGATCCTGCCACTGCACTCCAGCCTGGGTGACAGTGCGAGACTCCATCTCAAAAACAAAAAACGAAAAAGAAAAAAAAAGAGTAATTGCAAAATCATTTGGGAAATGCTCTGAATCTGCTACAAGTGATGTATGTACCTTTTTTTGTTTCTTTTTTTTTTTTTTTTTTGAGATGGAGTCTAGGTCTGTCGCCCAGGCTGGAGTGCAGTGGCCGGATCTCAGCTCACTGCAAGCTCCGCCTCCCAGGTTTATGCCATTCTCCTGCCTCAGCCTCCCGAGTAGCTGGGACTACAGGTGCCCGCCACCTCGCCCGGCTAGTTTTTTTTTTTTTGTATTTTTTTTAGTAGAGACGGGGTTTCACTGTGTTAGCCAGGATGGTCTCGATCTCCTGACCTCGTGATCCGCCCGTCTTGGCCTCCCAAAGTGCTGGGATTACAGGCTTGAGCCACCGCGCCCGGCCTGATGTATGTACCTTGTCTGTGGGAGACCAAGGTTTTGTTTTACCTAGTGAAGCCCTGAACTGAGACTGCAGGCCTGTGTACAGACTTGGAAAGCCATGTGACAGAGAAAATGGCCCTTCATCCTGCCTAGTACAGGACTCCAAAGCTACCATGCCTGTTCTCCAGGAGGCCGTTGGGAAATGTATGCCCTGGCACCCAAGGCATTGGTCTTTAGAGAGGAGTCAGACTGGTGGGTCACACAGAGGCTGCTCCAGGACTTCATCAATCCCTCCGGAAGGGGAGGGCGCAAAGAGCTCTCTTCAGCTATTGCTTCATGGGGACAAACCAGCAGCAGGCAGCCAGGGCTCCCCACAGGAACGGACAGGGCCGGTGTATATGGAGGGTGCTGCCTTTGCCGGCATCCTTATTTGAGAAAATTGGGATTAAGGGAACAGCTGGGACTGGTCAGGGAAAGT